TTTTTTGAGACGAAGTCTTACTGTGTCACCAGGCTGGAATGCAGTGGTGCAATCTCAGCTCACTTCAGCCTCTGCCTCCTGGGTTCAAGTGATTCTCGTGTCTCAGCCTCCTGAGTAGCTAGGATTGCAGGTGCCTGCCACCACACCCAGCTAATTTTTATATTTTTACTGGAGATGAGATTTCATCATATTGGCCAGGCTGGTCTCAAACTCCTGACCTCAAGTGATCTGCCCACCTCAGCCACCCAAAGTGCTAGGATTGGTAAGATGTATTTTTAAGGCTAGGTGGTGAAATTTTATTAGTTAACATTTTTTTTAAAAGCATGCCTCAGCCAGGTGTGGTGGCACATGCCTGTTGTCCTAGCTACTTGGGAGGCTGAAGTGGGAGGATAGCTTGAGCCCAGGAGTTTGAGGCTACAGTGAGCCATGATCACACCACTGTCCTCCAGCCAGGACAGCAAAGCAAGGCTCTGTCTAAAATCAACCAAATAAAAAGCATACCCATAAATCTATTTTACTAGAAGAAATGCAAAAAATGACTGAACAGATTTTACTGAATAGCGGTGAGATAAGGAACCTGTGCCATTTCTGTTCCACTGGCCCAGAGTGGGGCCACCTTCACTCAATTTCTGACACTATCTTGCTTTGCCACTGTCCCCTCCCTACACTGACTCTCACACACCGTATTTCAAAGTGTCCCCTTTGCAGAATGACTGTCTTGATAGGTAGTGAGCTTCCTGTCCCTGGAGATGTACAAGCGGAGGCTCACAAGATTTCCTGCACTGGATGGAAGCCAGAACGTGATTAGCTCTAAAATGCTTTTTCTGAGATTTTGGATTTTCAGCTCCCATCTATTTAATGGATCAAACTTCACACTCACTTCCCCTTTTCAAGGATCCCACGCTGCCACCATTTGAAGGAGATGATTTAAGGAGGCTGGCCCAGGAGATCACCAAGGCCAGAAGCTTCCTCTGGCAGGCCCAGTCCTTCAGGTATGCCCTTCACGCAGCCTTTCCCGCCTGCCATTTGGCTACAGCACGTGGAGACCCCGGACCCCATCTAGAAGGGCCGCACCCATCATGGTACCCTTGTTCCAAGGGTTCCTGCCCTGCTTCTCCCAGCCAGCCCAGAAATCTGGGCACCAGGGAGACCATCTTTCTTCATCTCGTGCCCACCAGATCCCAACTCCAGAAGAAAAATGATGCAGAACCAAAGGTCACTCTTTCCTAGAGAAGTGTTCTCAGGTAAGGGGAGGGGCCTAGACCCCACACTGCCTGAGTGTGCACTAAGCACCAAGTGGCATGCTCTGTTTTGTGGTCAATAATAACTTTGGTTAAAAAATAATGATTCCTCTAAACAGAAATGTCATCCTACAAAGGACCACTTACTGAGCAAATCGCGGCCCAGAGGGCAGGATGGGGTGGAATGCTGTGACCCGCAGGGAACATGATTCCTGGTACCAGGACTCCCTGGAAGCTGAGGAAGGAAAGGCTCTGTCTTTTGTGTGAGGGGCCATTCCTGGGTCTAATCTAACTCTCAAGCCCTGTCCCGCAGCGCACCCTACTCTCCAGCCACTAGACTGTCCCTCTCTGGGAAGCCCTAAACCAACCCCCTGCCTGAATGGTGCTTCTTGCCTCCTCTGCCCGGAGACTCCTGCTCACCCATCAAGGCACAGCTCAAATGACATCAGCTCCCTGGGAACCACCTAGAGCCAGGAGCCTCCAGTCTTTCTCTGGCAGCATCCTGACCACGCAGAACTCTCGCACTCAGCACTCCATGTCACGCCACCTTGCTCGCTGATCTAGCTCTTCTCCTTGACCGTGAGCTCCCTGGGGATGAGACTGCTGTCCCAGGATCTGCAGGTCCCCAGAAGCTGCCACATGGGAGACACATGGTGAACAGTGAGCAGGCGGCTGAGCTGTGGGAGTCTAGCTCTGGAAAGCAGCTGATGGGGTGGTCTCCACCCTGGTCCATCACAGGCTAATGCAGAGTCACAGTCAGCCCATCCTGGAGGAAGAAGAAACAAGTGAGCCTTACCACCACCCTCCATCCCTGCCCAACCAAACTGAAGTGAAGGCTGCTCATCCGGGGTCATTTTCCAAAATTAAAAACAATTACTTTTATTCCACTAATAGGATCAACATGACTTTAACTGTTTGAAATGATCATTGGCGTGTGTGTGTGTTTGTAAGTTTTTAGTGACATAGAACTTTATTAAAAGACTCATACCATACTATATAAAGGATTTCAATAAGAAAAAGATAAAATTCCAATTTTTTTTTTTTTTGAAATGGAGTCTTGCTCTGTTGCCCAGGCTGGAGTACAGTGGCACAATCTCGGCTCACTGCAACCTCCGCCTCCCAGGTTCAAGCAATTCTCCTGCCTCAGCCTCCTGAGCAGCTGGAACTACAGGGGCCCGCCACCATGCCCGGCTAATTTTTGTATTTTTAGTAGAGACAGGGTTTCACTATGTTGGCCAGGCTGGTCTTGAACTCCTGATCTCAGGGGATCTGCCTGCCTTGGCCTCCCAAAGTGCTGGGATTACAGGCATGAGTCACCATGCCTAGCCCATCCCAATTTTTTTTTTTTTTTTTTTTTAAATAGATAGAGTCTCACTCTCTTTGCCCAGGCTGGAGTGCAGTGGCACAATCTCGGCTCACTGCAACCTCCACCTCCCGGGTTCAAGCGATTCTC